TTAAGGTAGGAGTTCAATAAACAACATCAGAAAATGGTGCAGTGTCTTCCTGTTCTATTGCAATCTTCATCCATACCTGTTAACTATTTTCTAGGCAGTTAACCTTTTCCAAAAACCAAATTTCCTGTTCATCTAATACTAGTTGTTTCTGTCCAATAATAATGATAACCTGTATATAGAGTATGGATGTACATATATAGAAATGTGTATACATATATGTATATGTAAGTACACATGTATAGTGTAAATCTATGTATGTGTGTATGTATATACACTTTTAAAGTTTGAAGCCCGTTTCCTATATAGAGTGCTAGTACCTGACATCTCAGTGTTATAGGTATAATGGGTTTAGTTTGTAAGACTGTTTTGTTTTATAGAGTGCTTATCACTGAGGGAAAATGCTTAAAAGTGTTATATTCCCAACAGTGCTTGTTCTAAAAAAATTTTTTTCATGCATTGAAACACAAGTATTCAGTCTTTGAGCAGGTAATCTCCCCTACTTTAACTGACAAAGTTAAGACCATTGTGGACTCTTAATTCCTGAAGTGTTTACTCATCCTTTTAACTTGTTGAAAAAGCATGCTGGGCCTGGAGTCAGGAAGACTTGAGTTCAAATATAAACTCAGTTACTACCTATGTGAGGTTGAGCAAGTCAGTTGACCTCTGCCTCAGTTTCCTCAACTGTAAAATGTGGATAATAATAGCACCTCCCAATGAGGGTTGTGAGGATCAAATGAGATAATATTTGTAAAGATCTTAGCACAGTGGCTGGCACATAGGTGCTAAACAAATGTTCGCGATTATTTATTTTATAATCAAGGCTCACTTCTGCCATCCCTGCCATCCTTGTGCTCCTAAGATGACATTTTAATATCCTCCTCCCCAAACATTGTTCCCACATGCTTTTGGGACCTTGAACATCTCTTTTTTTCCACTGACTCCTTCCCTGGACCCTTTAAAAAGAAAAACAACAAAACTCAAGTATCCTCTGTCTAAATCAAAAACTTACCCAGTACCCAGCACTAACTACATTCTTGATCCCTACCTTTACATAACTTCAATCAGTCAATAAACATTTACTAAGCACCTTCTGTGTGCTAGGCACTGTGCTAAGTGTTAAGGATTCAAAGAAAGGCGGAAAAAAAAAAAACTCAAACTTTGCCCTCAAGGAATGCACAGTCTAAAGGCATAATGTGCAAACTCCTATGTATGAAACAATAAGTGCAAGCTAAGTTGGAGATGATGACTGAAAAAGACTTCTTGTAGAAGCTAAGGCTTTAGCTGAGACTTGAAGAAATCCAGGGAAGCTAGGAGCTGATGAAACAGTTCCAGGCATGGGGGACAGCATTATGACTTTTATGGGAACAGCACGGAGGCCACTGTTGCTGGATCACAAAGTTCATGTGGGCAGGGGTTAGAGTAAGGTGTAAGAACACTGGAAAAGTGGGAGGGGACCAGGTTGTAAAGGGCTTTCAGAACCAAATTGGATTATGTATTTGATCCTTGGAGTCTTAGGGATGCACTGGAATTTTTAAATTTGGGACAGGGGTGGCGTGAGACCTGTGCTTTAGGAAGATCACTTTGACAGCAGTGGAGAATGGACTGGTGTGTAGAGAGATTTGAGGCAGGCAGACCCAGCAGTTGGCAACTACAGTAGTCCAGGTGAAAGGTGATGAGGGCATGTGTAGAAGCGGGGTATATATGAGATGTTAGGAGGGTAGAATAAATGGGACTCAACTGCCCTCTGACTTCCATCACTTAATGGTCTTGTACATATTAGATGTTAATGATTATTGAACTTACCCTTTTGGAGGTCAACAATTATCAGATCTAGTGAGCTTAACCTCATCCTTCTTGACTGATCTCCATGGTTGCTGGGTGGCTCCCCTAAGACTCCCTTACCTTTGCTTCCATAGCTTTTTCTCTTCTTTGATGGCTTCTTTGTTTCCTTCAATATATTATCTCCTCCAGTCCCCCTTGATACTAGTGTTCCTTCTTTTATCCTTTCCCTTCTATATCATTTCCTTTGAACATTTCCAGTTCACCTCTGGGAAGATTACTCTAGGCTCACCAGCCTTAACTGCTTTCCTGAGTGCCAGATTCCCCAATTTCTTTAATGGGGGGGGGTTATTCTCAATTTAAGCACCAAATTGAATGAACATTTGCAGGTGAATAGCAGAAGAGAAAAAGTACATGAAACTGCAGATCTCCATCAAGTTAGCCTTTAGCTAACTTAACACAGAATATCCCACTAGGATCTAAAGCTTAATGTCAAAAACCAATTCATTTCCCTTCACTCATGACCTACTCCTTTTCTTCCTTTATGTTTCTGTACTTCTGATAGCTTTATAGTTTTTTGAGTAATTTGTGCTGATAATCTTAGCCTTTGATTCTCTGATTTCATCACATCTAGTTGCTAAGTTCTATTAATTCCACTTCTGTCCTCTCATTGTGGCTATAGTTCAGGCCTTTTATTACCTCTCAGTTGGATCAGTCTCTCAATCTTGTTTCTTTCTGCCCCTATCCATCTTGGTCATCAATCTTCATATTGCAGTGACTGCTGGAAACCAGTGGATCCTCATTGCTACTAAATTGTCACTAAGTGCAAGCAACCTGGGCATTCAGTGCCCTCTACAGTCTGGCGAAAGGGGATATTACTTTTTTTTTCTTTTCCTACTCATGTGGGATGCACCAACCAACTTGCTCGCTCTTATATATTCATTCCATGCTTTACAACTTTTCATTTCTGTTCACCTCCTTCCCTATGTCTAGAGTGCCCTTAATTTACCTCAGTTTCTCCTTCCAGACTTTAACTGTTAAAATGCCTCCCATCCTTTAAACCTATGCTTAACTTTCAGGAACCTGCTCATTTTGCCTGGCAGAAGTGATTGGCACCTTAACTTTTTTGAACTTACTATGTACTTATATTCAGTCTTCTAATATGTAATTTATGTACTTCCTATTTCCCATACTAGATTGTAAGCTTCATGGCAGGACCATGTTTTATGTATGTCAGTGTTACTATTTAATGCACAGCATCTTGCTTTACGTGTAGTAGGAACTTAAGAAGTGTTTGTTGAATGAATGAAGAGAACAAAGAATGTGGAGAGAAGCTGTTTGACTCATAATCTTGAAACATAAGAAAGATAGTTGTAAAGCTCAGGTTCTTTGACTTCATCTAAAGAAGGATTTGTTTTAATGACATAACATGAAGATGGAAATGTTAGGAAGCCACTGGCAGAGCTTTAAAGGTCTTTGATGGTCATCTCAACCCTCGAAAACTAAGGACCAGAGGTGTACCCAAGGGTGCCACAGCTCATAAAGAATACTGATTATTACAGCCATATTAGGATGATTAATCAAAGTTTCCAGTATCCGTTGAGATAATGATAGATGGTTCTACTGGGTTTAATAATAAAACAACACATTTAATGTATTTTACTTTTCTCTATTTTAAGAGCACTGGGTATTTAAAAACAACTACTAAGAATACTTTTGGTATCCCATTTTTAGAGACTATGCCTAAAATGAGATTTTGTCAAGTTGTAAATTGGAGTCTGGGAGAAAGACAAGAATTCCATGTAGTCCAGATTTAGATGGCAGAGTTTCTTTTTTTCTTTTTTTTTTCTTTTTGCTATCTTTTCTGTTTTCTATTTATGTTATGTAAACATCAGTATTGAGTTTCACATCTGTGGATCAACAAGATGGTTTAATTGGAGTATCTAGTTTTCAGAAATGTATAGTATCTGTTCATGCAAACCAGAAGTATCTTTGCTAATACAACACTTTTTCAACAGTTTACTTATAGCAAGTTGTTAATTGTGGTGTGTGGGAGGCAGCTTGGTGTAAAGAGCCATGGACTTGAAGATAGAAGCCACTGGTATGATTCCTGGCTCCTACCGTGTAACCTTGAGAAAGTCTTCCTGAGATGGTTTGCTCCTCTAAATGTATCAGTATCTCTTCAAGTTACTGTGAAGATCAAGTGAGTTAAGATAGAGAGCTTTGTGACTGCTCAGTTATTGAAAGGTGCTTGTTTTAGATTGTAGACTCCTAGAAACTGAAGGACTATGTTGTTTTATTACCGCAGAATGAAATCATATATGTGAAAACCCTGAAACATCTTGCCCGCTAAATAGATGTATCCTGTCAGGGTCAAAACAAGCTGTAGGCAAGTGAGGCCCTTTCCTCCAGCGAAGAAAATTGAAGGGTACAGGGTACCATAAAGTGCATAAAGTTTTTTGTTTAGTATCCCTCAAACAGGACAATAGGCTATTTGAATGGGAGGCAGGGATGAGAAGAAGAGATAGAGTTGTATATTCTTTACAAAAGTGCTAGTTACGCGGTTCAGCCTTCCTTACGCTTAAACTATGCTAGGTCAATAGAGAAGGAAACCGAACTAGGATGCTTCGGTGACTTAACCAGTGAACAGGTGGAATGGGGAGCAGGCTAAGGAGATTTCAGAGGCCGGACACAAGCTTACTGTGGGAAGGAAGTGAGATTCGTTACGCAGGACTTGTGGGAGAGTTGGAAGTGAGTTGTGCAGTCTCAGACAAAACTGCAGAGGACCAGAACTTTTACATTTTCCTTTTATGGGATCAACGGCCCTCAGGTGGGGAGCTTGGTACGCCGGCTCCTATCCTTTGGGCTTCTTGGCCCCACTTCCCCCAGGAGGTGCATGACGGAGGAGGGGCCTTCCTGCGAGCTTTCAGTGTGATTGGTTTTCCCATCTCCCTAAGGGGCGAAGGCGGTGTGGTCCAGCTGGGGCGAGGGAGAAGGGGCGGGGCGGCCCCTCCTAGTGCAGCTTTAGTGGCAGCTTCGGCGGTGGGTACCCTTAGCGCGGGTAGAGGGCGCAGCGCTTGGAACGCACTGTGCGCTCGGAGCCATGCACAACCGCCGCGCTTAGTAGTCCGAGCCTGCGGTGGGTCCGGCTCACCTCCGCTCTTGCCTTCTGGTCTGGCAGCCTCGTCCTGTCTGTCATCTTCCGCGCGCTGTGCGCACCTATGGCGCTGGCCCCCAGGCCCCGGGCAGCCGCGCTCCGGACCCTGTCCACCCTGCTGCTGCTGCTGCTGCTGGTGCCGACCCCGCCGCCTCTGGGGCTTTTCCCCGGCAGCGCTGTGGGGCTGGATTATACCTGGGACACAGCCTTCGATTACTCGGCGCTGGAAGAAGGGGATGCTGCCCAGGAGCCGCTAGATTATCACGACCCCTGCAAAGCTGGTAGGTACTGCAGGAAGTGGAGTTGAAGTTTGCTTCCCCATTGCCCCGTGGCAGGGATGGCCATTGAGATGGAAATGAGATGTTAACATTCCTGTGCTGCCGTATTTCTTGCAGGTCCTCAGACCCCAGGAGATCTCCCATCTCCCGGGAGTGCATCTCTTGGGGAGTGGAGGTGGGGGGGGGAACAATGCCCAGCGGGGAACTCACTAAATATCACTTAGGGGCACTCATGCCTTGGCTGCTTCTGGAGCGAGTTTAGGGTGACGAGGGCTTCTGTGAGAGAGGGGCTGCTGATCTGAGCTGGAGTGACTTGAGATAAGATGGAAAACGGGGGAGGGGAGCTCAGCTGGTGATAGTAGAGAGAATACAGACCTCCAGGTGTCCAGGACCACACACCTACCCGGCTATTCGAAACTGGAGTAGGAGAATGGAGGTGGCAGTGGGAGTGCAGTATTTTCCCGTCTTGGAAAAAGTTGGTAGCTCCAATTTCATTCTATTTGCACATTTCATCCAAACTTTCCCATGATCTTTATTTGGTTCTTGGAAAAGACCAAAAAAGACGCCCCCGCACAACCACAAACAATACAAGAATGCGAGTGAATGAAGTTGGTTGTATGTTTCTAATTTGCCATCAATTCATTTCTGGAAAAGCACCGTAGCCCAAGCGCCCCAGAGCAGAGATGGAAACCAGCAGGTGTCCTAATCTCCCCAGCAAGCCAATCTCGAAGGGATCCGGCCAGCCTGTTAGTTCTCAGTCGTGCGGATCTCTGCCTGTGTTTCCTTACCTCTCTCTCTTCACTCTCCGGGCAGTTAGCAGATGCTTCTTTCTCGGAGGAGATACGTCACAAATTTTAATTGCGGAGAAATATAGTGCAAAAAAGTGTGTGTGTGTGTGTGTGTGTCCGTGTCCGTGCCATGTCCGTGTGTGTCCATCCGTCCGTGTCCGTGTGCCCCTGTCCATCCAAAGTAGGCTACTTGGAAAGAGTGTGTGGTTTGGATCTATGGCAATTCCCTCATGGATTAATGAGGGCACTTGATTTGGAAAGGATGTGATTGGCCGGTTGATTGGCTTTTGGCCAGAATCCAGTAGTGCTAAATTATTTCCTATCCACCACTGGGCAAACTATAGTGATGAAATCAATGTCCTCACCCATTTTGATTTCGTCTCCTTCACAGTCAAATTAAAATAGAAAAAAAAAACCCAACATCATGTAAAGAAAGTTACCTTGCCTGTTTCATAAAAGGGATAGACTGGTTTCTGAAGATTTCTTAGGTAGTTGTTATCTGAGACAGCCTGAGTTCAAGTCTTGACTCTACCACTTATTCTGTGACCTTGCCTAATTGACTTAATTTCACAGAATCTCAGACTCAACAGGGATCTCAGACCTTGTAGTCCAACCTGTTAGTGAACAATTTGCTACAACATTCTTGACAAATGGTCATTCATCCAGCCTTTGCTTAAAGACCTCTAGTGAAGGGCTCCTCTACCTTGGTTAGACAACAACTGGATTATTGTGTTCAATTCTGGGCCCTACATTTTAGAAAGGATACTGATAAACTAGAGTATCAGCATGCAGAAAGGACTTGAGATCGTGCCATATGAAGATCGGCTGGAGGAGTGGGCCATGCTTTCCCTAGAAAAGAGAAGCAATCTCTCTCTGAGTCTGTTTTTTTTTTCCTTTTTTTAAAATGAGGGTAATAATATTCATACTACCTACCAGTTTACAGGGCTGAGGTGAGGGAAGCACTTTGTATACTTAAAGCAGTAGCAAATGCAAGTTATTCTATGCTTTTTCATTGAAGTGTGTGTATGTGTGTGTGTGTGTGTGTGTGTGTGTGTGTGTGTGTGTGTGTGTGGTTGGGGGGGTGGGACTTGAATGCCATGGCACCAATGTACCCAAAGGAATATCCATGCCTTCACTTCTGGAAATTCATCTGGTTTTGGCATTAGATAAGGGGTCTGAACTGAGTAGTTCACCTGGCCCTAGTTTACTCCTAGGCCAGAAGATTCCTGAGGGTTTGGATCTGGTTTAGGAGAGTTCATAGGTAGCTATGGGGTCCAAAATTAAACCAGCACTGTACAAGTTGGACCATCTATTTTCCAACCCTGGATAAATCCCATTGCATTTACCCTGATAATGCAGTTATAAATTTTACCTTTAAGGAAAGAGGGTGGGATAATAGATTTCATACTCAGTGTCATAGCTAAAAGTAAGGGCATATCAGTTAGTGGTGACTGCTGGGTTAATCACAAACCTTGAGAGAACTAGCCTTGTGTTCAGGGAGGAAGACTCCTGTCTGCATTGTTAGAAGACTGACCACGTTCAAGCAAGAAGGAAGCTGCTAATGAATACCCATTGTGAAGGTCAGGAGAAGCTTAGGAAGCAATGTGGTCAATGGCTAGGACAAGGAGAATCCTGGAGAAAGAGCAAGAATAGAAATGCATTCCCTTCTCTGCCCCTTTGGCCCACTACTGCCAACTCCCTTTCCCTGCCCTGAGTCTCATTCCTCTTTGGCTGGCAATTCTAAAATGTAGCAATGCATAGTGGAGTCAGGATTGTTGGGTCTTGAAGTCAGGGGATGTGGATTTCAATCCTGTCTTAGACACTAACTAGTGTGATCATGGTAAACCACTGTACCTTGGGTTTTCTTCACACTTCCACGATTTATCACGCAGGCTTGTTGTGAGGAATTCTTTGCAAACCTTCAAGTGCTATAGAAATGTAAATTGTCATTCTGGGGTTCCATGATTATACAAAATATTGTGTTTTTCTCCCTTGCTTTTTATTTTTTTGAAGGCACCTACAGCTGACAATGTGGGGGGAAAGCTGGGGCAGAAGATGAAAGCTATAGTTTTTCCCTGCCTGTTTTGTCCTTAGCAGCCTCCTTTCATCTTCTTAGTTCTCCTTAACCCTTGAAAACTGTCAGTGTGGAGAGTCCAGGCTTGAGCAAGAAGGGTGCTCAAAGTTTATCTTCATTATTCCTTACATCCTTAAGATTCTTCACTCCTCCTCTTTTTTTGTCATCTGTGCCCCTAGTTAGCTCAGCATGATTGGGACCTTTTCCTGACTCCCTTCTCCTAGTCACAATGGATTGGTGCTGTGCTCCCTTCTATTTGTCCCAATTTTCTGCTAATTGCTGTTATGAGTGAATTCATCTTAATAGATGCCAATGATGCCCCTCATAAGTAGCATGTTTGCATTTTGACAGGTGTCTTCTGGAGTTAATGGCTTATCCCTTGAATGTTCTCCCTCCTCTCCTCCACCTCCTAGGATCTTTAGCCTCTTCCCAAGCTCATCCCAAGTACTACCTCCTACATGAAGCCTCCTTTCCTTATTTCCCCAGATGTTAGTACCTCCCCTCCCTATTCCCATTACCTTGTCTTTATTTTGTATATACTCATGTACTTATATACTTAGTATTTTGTGTATACTTAGTATTTTGTATCTGCTTATATGCACTTGTTGTCTTCCTCTGTAAAAGACTTATCAGCTCCTTGAAAGTAGGTATTATTTTGTTTTTGTCTTTGTTTTCCCAGTGCTTGGCACACAGTAGGTGCTTAACAAATGCTTAGTCATTAACTCACTGATCTGAGGTATGTTGAGGTACCAGACCCTGTAATGTACCTGGGGCCAAGCCACAGGGAAGGAAGAAAAAAAGCTTTGAAGAGAATGGAATTAAAGAGTTTTGTACAAGAGGACCTGGGTTCAAATCCCAGGTGTGCCATTTACCACCTGCATAGGCTTCCAGCTACAGAAATAACACTAATTATGGAAGAGCAAAAACAAAAGAAAAACCATAAGATCATAAATCTAGACCAGAAACATCCCTAGGGATCTTCTAGTCCAATCCTCTCATTTTATAGATAGGGAAACTGAGGTTTAGAGAGCCTTGTCCAAGGTTACACAGTTAGTAGATCCAGTATTAGAACTCAGTAACTCCACCCAGAAGTATACATGACCCAAGCTAGAGGAGCTTTTGATCCTTAGTGGCCTTAAACCCCAAAGTCAGTTTTATATCCAGGAAATGTCCTTTAACTTCATTAAGGGATTAGTTTCACTCAAGTCTAGAGTCAAAAGCAGGGTTAGATAAAGTGAACAATGATTGCTAAAGATAGGAATTAGTGAATTACCAATTGTACCTAAGTTCCTATTTCTTTAAATTTTGTGGTGATTTTGTATAACTTTAATAAACACAGTGATTACCAATATTAATGTTTAGGCTTAGCTGTTTTATAGGGAGTTATATTCTTTATTTTTAAGAATGCTTAAATTAAAAAAAAAAAACCAAGGTGAAATCACAGCAGAGAAGAAATAAAAATAATTACCAGAACCTACTATACAATTATATGCCAACAAAGTGAGGGACTTAAAATTTAAAAGAAGATTACCTAAAAAGACAAAATAACCAAATTAACAGAACCCCCAAAGTGATCTTTAGAAAAATCTAACTAGGAAAATGAAAGTTGGAGTTGGAGATAGATTTATAGGTGAATTAAATTTAAGTTTCAAAGAATAATAAATACCTAGAGTATAAAAGTTATTCTCAGAAATTGAGAAAATAGTTCACCAAACTCCTTTTATGCGATATGTAAATCTAATGCCTAAACCAGGGAAGGATAAAACAAATAAAGGAAACTATGATAAAAATTGCCATCAATGAATATTGATTTGAAAGTTTTAAATGTAATCCTAAACAAGAGTAGCTGAACATAAAATTCATGGTTCTGATTTTTATCTTAGAGGAAGAGAGAGAGAGAGAAAGAAAGAAAGTATGCTTTGTCACTTGGATCTTGCCTCCATGACCAAAGAAAGGATCTGTTTGATGGAGATAACAATAGCACCTACCTCACAGAGTTGTGAGGATCAAATGGGATAACATATGTAAAGTGCTTTGCAAACTGGAATGCACTCTAGTACCTTTTAGAGCTTCAGTAGATGGGGTTGGAACAAAAGGAACAAAAATAGCCCTTGAGCAGAAACTGAGTTTACTGCATTTTA